CTACTACTACTACTACTATTACTACTACTACTACTACGACTACTACTACTACTACTACTGCTACTACTACTACTACTATTTACTACTACTACTACTACTACTACTACTACTACTACTACTACTACTACTACTACTATTACTACTACTACTACTACTACTACTACTACTACTACTACTACTACTACTGATACAGCTACGATTACGACTGCGACTACGTTTACGACTACTGCGACGACTACGGCTACTACTAAGACCCTGATTACCACTACGACTACGACTGCGCCTGACTTGGCCTCCTCCTCGACCTCCTCCTCGGCCTCCTCCTCCTCTTCCTCCTCATCCTTCTCCACCTCTTCCTTGCCCTCATCCTCCTACACCACGACAATGGCAACGACGACAACGATCACGACGACGACGACGACCCGACATGGGCAGGGGCCCCCCCGACACGAGACAGACGTGTTTGCGGCCAAGACTGCCTCATGCCGGCTGGAGGGCTGAAACTTGCCGCTTACTGCAAAGAACGATGCCCGCACTGCATTGCTAGGCGGGGGGGCTGCCCACTGCGACCCCAGCACCGTCCAGGTGCAGCTCTCGCAACTGACTTGCGCAAACGCAACGCACGGCCCCGCTCCGCTGGGCGTTGTTGCACGACGCCCCCGCGTCAAAATGATGCTCGTGCATGGCGTGTTGGGGCACTGCTGCCTAAATGAAGGATCCGAGTGGAACCCCATCGCGGCCCCAACAAGGCCCTTTCGACGCAGGGCAATCCAGCCGAGCACAACCTCTGCATCGGTCGCGCCAAAGGCCACTCGATTCAAGAGCTGCCACAGCGTTGCGCCGTCTACGGCGCCAACGCCTAAGTGCGCGGCGACTTTCGCATGCTCTGCGCGATCGCTGCACACGCTCGGCTTGTCCGCGGCTGCCACTGCCGCAGCCCAAACTTCGGGCTTAGTGCATATGCTGGCTGGCAGCACTGGGACCGCAGTGCGCAGCTTGAGCGTGTTCGCCAGCGCCGCGGCCTCGCACTGCTTCTCGCGTTCATCCGGTCGCGAAAACGGGTCTGCACAGTTCGCTTCTGAGGGTACATATCCGATCCAGATGTGCACCCTTAGGGCGGCAGCGAGCAGCCAGATAGCTGCTACCAACTCGCGGCTATGCTCGCCCCCGGCCGAGCCGCTCAAAAAGCTATACGAGAGATGCTGGAAGCGGGCATGCAGCAGCAAGATAAGCACGAATGCAGAAGCGGAGAAGGTCGAACCCAAAGGTATCTGGGACGTTCTAAGCACGGACTCGTCATCGAAGAATCGAGAGGCTCACATGACACCCTCGGCGGATGCCAGCGGAAGCAAGACCAAGGCGACTCCGCCAGCGGAAACTTGGCGGATGCAGACGGAAGTAAGAGCTGACCCCAGATAGAGGTCAGCGCTGGCGTACCCAAGGGGCTCCAGTGTCAGCCGTCTGGGGACCTCCGTGTCTCATCCCTTCTCATCCCATCCTTACAGGGAGGGGAGGGAGGGAGGGGAGGCGGTGTCACACTCAAGCATGAAGCGGGGGTAGAAGGATCCGTGCACTGCGACCCTCCCTGGCCTCCCATCCCTGTCCTGGGCCAGGTGAAGTGCCCCCTCTCTCCTGCGGCGGTCGCGGGGAAGGCGTAGCGGGTACTCACTGCCGGGTAGCGCTGGCTAGTCTGAGTACCAGTGAGTCTGAATGTGGAAGGGGTACTGGGTGTGTGAGTCCGGGTAATGGCTAAGCTGAGTGTGAACGGATGTTAGTGTGAGTGGTCTGAGTAGTATGAGTGCGAGTCTGAGTATGAGTGAATCGGAGTGTGAGCGCGAGTGGGTCTGAGGGAGACTGACTGCTGCCTGGGACTAAGTGTGAGTCAAGGACGTATAATGTCTGAGGAGGAAGGAGGCGGGAAGGAGGAGGAGAGGGAGACAGAGGCGCCACCCGAATAACAAGAATCCCATCTGAGGATATGAGGAACTAGACGGGTTCTCGCCTGGGTCATATAATTGAGACGCTGAAGGATCCCACAACGAGGAGACACAGGCGTGCGCACGCAGTGGATGAACCAAGCTCTACTACTCTACGGTAGCACTCTTGGGCAGGAATGCCAGAGGTGCCAGTGGCGATGAGAAGTGGCGATGGCGGCGGCAGTCTCCTGACGCCAGTGCGCATTCATATGGCAAGCTTAACACAAAAGCATCCAGGGCGGCCCTTCGAGGGGGAGGAGCAAGATGAGACAGGAGACACATGATGTGGAATCTCACACGCAGCGCCGCCGTCGCGGAACCGGCCTTCGCGTCCTCGAGGTGATTCTCGGCGTGGTAGTCGTGCCAATCGATGATCACGTAAACGCCCTCTTCGATACATGCATCCACGACCGCCTCCGCTGACCAGCTGGGGCTGCCCCTCTCCCCGTGATTGCCGCCCTCGTTTCCGTCCACGCTTCCAGCTTCGCTATCACATTCCCCCTTGCTCCTTCTCCTGTTCCTCATCCCCCTATCCGTTTCGCCATCACCCTGATCAGGTCACCACGATGGCCACCATGCGTGTCACCGCCGCCACTACCTCGACACGGGGCGCGTTTTCGCGGATGCCCCGCGCGGGGCGCATCGGTGGCGACCCCGCGTGTCCGCGGGATCGCGCCCAGGAATCCAGACCGCGAGGGCGTGGTTACTCTGGGCTTCTTAATAAGCGTGGGGGGGGCCCCCCCCGACGGGGGTCAACCTCGCCTCGTCGTCGCGCCGCGACGGGGTCGGAGCGCCTGCGGCGCGCGGTGGCTGCCCGCGACGGGGGTCGATGTGGGGCTGTGGGCGGGGGTGATGCCCCCCCGACGCTCATCAAGAAACTCGGAGTCTGATTACGTTCGCCACCCGTGCCTGCCCTCGAGTGCACGGTTTCCCCCGGGGCCGCAGGCGACCCGAGGAGGAGCAGGAGGAGGAGGCGGCGGAGGAGGAGGAGGAGGAGGAGGAGGAGGAGGAGGAGGAGGTGGAGGTGGAGGAGGGGAGGGGGAGGAGGAGATGGAGGAGGTGGAAGAGGAGGAGGAGGAGGAGGAGGAGGAGGAGGAGGAGGAGGAGGACGGGTCGCATAAGCCCTTCGGAGAAACCCTCCACCCTCAAGGTTTCAGCTCACAAGCTGTGAAGCCTGGCCAGGCCGACCGCCAGACCCACGAGGCACACAGAGCGGAGGCCGGGCGGCTCCTGCAGCCGACACCTCGCGCCGCGCACCGGAACTCCCGTGGCTGAGCCGGGCGGCTCCGTCGCTTCGCGTGGAAGGCGCGGCTCGGAGATACAGGCATCGTACTACCATGAGGAGCGTTGAGCAAGGAGCGAAGGGGCCCATCTGGCCACGGCGAGCCTCGGCAGCGAGCCGGAGCACGTCCCGCGTTTGAAGAGCGGCCTGGGGCGCCTGAGGCGCGCCTGGGCCCAGAGTGGCCCTCCTTACGAGAACGGCACCCACGCAACGTACCATGTATAGTGGCCGCTCAGGCCCCGCTCCTCCGCGGTAGTGTTAGCTCGTGATTGAAAAACCGTAGGGGGCTCGCGCTTAAACAAATAATTCCCCTACTGGGGGGAAATCGCGGGGTGGCGCCCGCCAGATTGAAAATCAACGGGGCGGCGCCACTGATGAGCGCCAGCGCCCGGACGCCAACGAGAGGCAAGGGGGAGGGGGAGGCAAGGGCGAGCCAGGGCGCCCCTCTTTCTGTCGAACCGATGCGGGCCTGCGGGCAAGGCGGGCTGGACGAAAGCTGGGCGCAGCAAAGGGGGGATTTGCCAAGCAGCTCACGTCGCCGATTTTCCAAGCGCCTCCTGGCGCCAAAAGTGGCCATGCATCGAGGACCGGCCCTTCGGCGGGGCGACCGAGGCCAGCTGCGCGCAGCAAGCTTTACAACCCCCCCTTTCCTTCCCCAACCTTTCGTCCGACCCGAGCAAGGCGGGTAGTCTTCCCCCCACTGTGTCGCCGTCGTCGCCGCCGTCCCCCGCCCTTCCTGCGCCCGTTTCGAGCGGCCGCTCTCTTCGTCGACGACGACGACGACGACGACGACGACGACGACGACGACGACGGGACGGGGACGAGGACGAGGACGACGGACGGCGGACGGCAGACGGCGACGACGACGACGACGACGCACTGCGGATGCCCTAATTACGGGGGGGGCGGGTGCTGCGCAGGCCCGCTGTACTCGACGACGACGAGGACAACGATGACGAAGACGAAGACGAAGACGAAGATGACGACGACGACAAAGACGACGAAGAAGAAAAAGACGACGACGATGACGACCAACGACAACGACGACGACGACGACGTCGACGACGACGTCGACGACGACGACAACGACGACGACGGCGGCGGCAGCGACGACGACGACGACGACGTCGCCAGAGAGGGGGCACGAAAATTCGCCTTGGATGTGTACGACCCTTATAGCAATTTCTATACGAAAGGCAATCGTTTTGAGGCTGTCATGCAGGGGGGTACACGATCCCCTCGGCGGCGCCAGCGACGACCCCCTGGCGCGCGTGATTTTAAAAAAGGTTTCGCGCCCCGCGGGGTCTATTTATCAGCCCGGGGGGAGGCCTTTTGTCAATCACAAGCTGGCATTACGATGTATAGTTGTTCGGCCCTGAGGGCGGAAAATCATGCACCGTACCGTTCACGGGTCGAGGATCAACATCGCTTCGGGAGACGACAATGCTGCACGGTGCAAACACTTTTTGCGGACTTATTCCAACGCCCCCACTGCAAGGCACAGTGCGGAGGTTGGACGTCTCTTGCAATCGAGACCTCGCACCGCGGCTCGGACCTCCCGACTCTCAGCTGGGCGGCCCTCTGCCAACTCGCAGAAGGCGCGTCTCGGAATTGGGTCTCCACGACGACGGCGGCGGAACTCGGGGTCCAATCCCACACTCGGCGGGCACCGAAAAACCTGAATCCAAAAACAAACCTGTTGGCACCTCTTGTGATGGGTCTGCTTTCCACCACGAACACCACATGTTGGAGGGAGAGGGGGTCCTCCTCCTCCTCCTCCTCCTCCTCCTCCTCCTCCTCCTCCTCCTCCTCCTTCTCCTCCTCCTCCTCCCTCCTCTCCTCCTCCTCCTCTCCTCCTCCTCCTCCTCCTCCTCCTCCTCTCCTCCTCCCCTCCTCCTCCTCCTCCTCTCCTCCTCCTCCTCCTCCTCCTCCTCCTCCTCCTCCCTCCCTCCTCCTCCTCCTCCTCCTCTCCTCCTCCTCCTCCTCCTCCTCCTCCTCCTCCTCCTCCTCCTCCTCCTCCTCTCCTCCTCCTCCTCCTCCTCCTCCTCCTCCTCCTCCTCCTCCTCCTCCTCCTCCTCCTCCTCCTGAATCCAAAAGCAACCTGTCGGCACCTCATGGGGGCGATCTCTCCACTTCCGCCAGCTTCCGCCAGCGGGCCCGCCGCCGGCCTGCTCCCGTGGGCGCGCGCGGGCCTTCCGCCGCCCTCCGCAGGGGAGCAGACGTCAGCTCCGTCGCCCACTCGAAGGTCGAGGAGGCCCTTTGCAGAGCGCCCCGCCCGGCGCCACGCGGCAGCGCTGGTTTGGAGGCAGTGGAGCCCCCCTGTCCCGCCTCCCCTTCCTCGTCGTCCCTGGGCCCCCGCGCAGGGCTCCACGGGTCGCCCGCGGAGGCCCCCGGAGGCCTCAGAAAAGCCAGGAGGCCCGAGGAGGAGGCGGAGGAGGAGGAGGTGGGGGAGGACCTCCATCCTGCTTATCTTGCTGCTGCATGCCCGCTTCCAGCAACTCTTGCGGCTGCATGCTTATCTCAAAGATCGTTTCACCTCCACGGTCAGCTGTTCGCTGGGGTCGAAACGCTTCATCCTTGAATTCACCCCGAGCCTTTCGCGTAAGGATCCTCATCAGCAGGAGGACAGAAGAGGATGGAAGAGGAGGACGATGAGGCGGGTGTGGTTGACGACGAGGAGAAGTAGAAGTAGGAGGAGCAGGCGGAAAAGGAGGAGGATAATGAGGAGGAGGAGGACCGAAGAGGATCGAGGAGGACCGAGGAGGATCGAGGAGGATCGAGGAGGAGGAGGAGGAGGAGGAGGACGAGGAGGACGAGGAGGAGGAGGAGGAGGAGGAGGAGATGGAGGAGGAGGACCTTCATCCCCAGACATGCGACGTCCTGATTTTTTCAGGACGGCGTCCCTGGAAGTCCCGACCCTTTCCCCGGGGCCGGTTTTTCATCCTGAGTCGTTTTTTGACGGTCCCGGGGACCGGCGAGGGCCCCCAGGGGCCGAAAATAACGAAAAGCTTGCCGCCATGATTTTTTACGACGCGATTATGTCTGGGAGAGGGCCCGAGGACCTCCATCCTCGAGCCCTCCCCTCCCCTCTCCGCCTCCCCGGATCTATCCCTCCCTCCCGCCTCCCTCCTCTGGCACTCGCTGCGGGCCTCGACCTCGCCGCCTCGTCTTCGAACAGGGGCGGAAGGTGGTGGAGGAGGAGGAGGAGGAGGCGGAGGAGGAGGCGGAGGAGGAGGAGGAGGACGAGGAGGGGGAGGAGGGGCACGACGAGGAAGAGGAGGGGCACGACGGCACCCGACGGCCTCGGGAGAGAGGCCCCTGCAGTCCCCAGGAGGCCTCTGGAAGCCTCGGGAGGGGGAGGAGGATCGAGGATCGGGGAGACGAAGGAGGAGGAGGAGGAGGAGGAGGAGGAGGAGGGGGAGGAGGGAGAGCGAGGGGAGTGAACATGCGGCGCGGCAGCCGAGCCTCATGATTTTGTCGTTCCTCCCAGGGGCCGCGGCAAAGAACAGTGCTGTGCAAGCGGTCGGCTCGATGCCCCCGCGATCCACCGCGAGCCATGCACGAGAGGCACACACATTGGCACCGCCACCACCAAGATCGCAGGCCGCCACCATCGGGGGAGGCTGACCCCGTTTCCGTGTCTGTAGCCACAACCATGAAAAGATCGGGGGCCATCTTCCATGTCGACACCCTTGGTTGAGGCGACCACCGATCTGGTTGTGGGTACCAACTTCTAGGTCTCCAAATGCACGCGCTGTGCCAGAGGCCGCCAAAAAACGGGGCTGGGGCAGAGGGGATCAGAGGATCGCACCGCATCACCGATGCATCGGCGATGCACTGGTGACGTCGGGGTCGTGCTCCGGGTCGCCCGGTCGCCCGCACCACCAGTGTATCAGCGATGCGGCGCCATCCTCCGACCACATCTGGTCCCAGGCAGGTCCCCTGAAGTCTCCCGAGGTCCCCGGAGGTCGCCCGAGATCCCCAGAGGCCTCCAGAGGTCCCCTGGAGTCTCTGGAGGCGCCTGAAGTGCCGAACTGCGAGCCTCGAAGGCCCCGTGCTGGGTGGCCTGCCCTCGAGCCCCCACCTGCCGCGCTGTCCGCGCGGCAGATGCCGCCCGCGGTGGCGAGCGCCG